GAGGGGGGGGGGGTGGGGGGGGGGGGGGGGGGGGGGGTCATCTGTCAATGTCTGTCTGGAGTTTTACCCACTGCAACTCAGCCAAATTAGACCAGGGGGTAGCCAGCTGGCTGAGGACAGATGTTTCAATAAGAATGATGAGGGATGAAGGCTGGAGCGTTGGAACGGTGGGTGCTGGCAGAGCACTGGCAGCAATACTCATTCCCGTGTCTTCATAGTAAGGGAAAGGAATGGTGCACATGTTCCAACCACTTACTTTAAATAGGAATTAAAGTGTACAGTGCACCTCCCGAGTTATTATCTGGGTGTAACTTCTATAATGCCACTTGATTGACCTTCCATATTTTCATGGCTCTGCCACCGCTGTGCCTAAGCCAGACAGTTCGCTAAGTTGACTTTATCCCAGGTCTCTGCAATCCCCCGCAGCCACATACAACACAACAGCGGCAATTTCTATGTACCATTGTGTTCCTAGGCAGACTATGTGTATGACAGGTACGCTTATTTTGAGAGGCTTATAAGAATATCTCACCGACACATTGGCTGTTTTCATCCATCTGGTAGCCGAAGCGACATATGAGGGGTCGGGATGGTGACGGGAAGTTGGGGGATGAGATCGGAGGAGCCAGAGGCGAGACAGCGGGGAGGTAAGGGGTGCGGTACGGTGCTCTGAAAGTGCTTGACCGGGGGATGCAGAGATAGCCACCATTTTGATTGACACAGGCCATGTCTCCACGGCAAGCATCGGCGATGATCCGACATTCATCTATGTCTGTAAACGGGATATAGAAAGCAAATATTTATGGCATTGTATACAGGACCACAGAGATGATACCGTGCAGAGTCCATACATGCAGGATAAGAACAGCTCCACTAGTGTGCAATATTTCATACTCCCAGTGTATTATTGAACTGGTAAAAAGTGGCCCATAAGATGACCTACCATTACACTAAGCGTAGTGCTTACAGCCAGGGACCCCTTAGAGGAAGCCTTCCCTCCCCCCCATGGTGACCTCTTATAGCAAGATGCAAAAGTGTCTATATCCTCAGAGCCCGGGTGAGACCTAACCCATCACAACCCCACGAGGTAGTACTGAGATTTTGTTGTGACCACCACAGAGCAGATGTGCGAGATTACACCGATCTGCCATAACATTCTGACCACTAAGAGATGATTGAATATCTGGTTACAATGACACC